ATCTGGATATCTTTATTGTAGACGTTTCGCCATCCAGTGGCTTTATCAATACAGATTCTAGGACATAATAGGAAGACAGTAGAACTATATACAAAAGATGAGGTAATCAGTCCCTCGGCCTTGGAGTTAGTGTTCACAGCATCGTGGTGGAGGAGAATCTGGAACAAAGGCAAGAAGACTGACGTTTATATAGGCGTCAGTGGAAGGGACGGGCAGCAGACGAGGGCAGTCACTGGTAGGCGGATTCCCAGTGGAAGTAGGTCCTGCTGCAACTAACCCATCTCTTTGGGAAGGACCTACTTCCACTGGGGAATCCCGCCTACCAGTGACTGCCCTCGTCTGCTGCCCGTCCCTTCCACTGACGCCTATATAAACGTCAGTCTTCTTGCCTTTGCTCCAGATTCTCCTCCACCACGATGCTGTGAACACTAACTCCAAGGCCGAGGGACTGATTACCTCATCTTTTGTATATAGTTCTACTGTCTTCCTATTATGTCCTAGAATCTGTATTGATAAAGCCACTGGATGGCGAAACGTCTACAATAAAGATATCCAGATGTTGCACATGTGTCTTAACTTTCAAATATTGTCAAGCCTGGTAACCATTCTCTCAGCTTTGTTTCCATTCATATTCCTGGGGTGATAGTCACTGTTCTCTCAGCTAAGTTACACTTCACCTAGTTGGGGTCGCATCAGTAACAAGCGAATATGGCATACCCAAACAACTCCGAAACCCCAATGACTTGGGTAATTCCTTGACAGGATAATTTACTTTTGCAGTGCAAGTATCAAATGTGGAGATTTTTTTTCGAAGCTCTTAGAGGTCATCTGTGACCTGGTTCGGAAGTTATTTCCTACTTCCTTGACCTGTCTGTTGCTATTCTGCTAATGTATCTCTTAATGGTTCTAGACAATATTGCCCCCGCGGTCCGGTCTCGTCCTTGTATTGCAATGCACTGTTGCAGCACAGCTGTGTGTAGTCATGGAATACCTTAAGGCTCTGGCACAAACGAAATATTTCAGCACTTGTTTAAGGAATTATGGATTACAAAACTACCACTGCTGTGTAATATGTAGTGTGAGGACGGGTTACCACTACCAGGACCCGTGTGGCCTGAGCAAATTCTTAGGTAGTAGGGGCTGTGCTGAAGTCATATTGACTACATAGGCTTAATTTATAAACAGAGCCAAATACTGGTATTAATTGGGGAAAGCTGAGTTATCGCCCAGAAGCTATGACAGCAGTCATCCCCTGGTGGGCGAAGCGTCATGTATAAGAGCACCAAATGTATGAGAGATACCTGTGCAACCTAACGTTGCACAGGTATCTTACACATCTGTGGGTATTATATACCTTTGATATAGCAGTTACTGCGGCCATGCTTTGGCGTGTTAGTTCACAGCTCCGATATCCATTCACCACTTTTACTAAACGTTGAGAGCTTTCTCGAGTGCTACGATACGCATGGGCTCTTGTGATGCACATGACCACTAGCGTGCACGTGCGTAAACATGCTTTACCACACCCAAGTTCTGAACAGTAATTATAAACACACAGACATAAAGCGTAATTAGAAACAAAGATTGAGACTGCAATTAAAAACTTGTTGGGTTAAACAATTGTTCAAATTGATATTTCGTAAAAATAGATGACTTACACAAGTATAGGCATGTATATTTAATATTTTTTTATTTACTTTGTCATTTAGGTGATAGCTGTTACTCTATATAACTAACCCCAAATTGTCTCGCCTGCCGGGTAGGGGGAGACAGATTATCTATAATGCACTTCAATAGTGTCCCTTTTTGTGTTGTCTAATGGCTAGATGCCACAAACGTAAATTTACACCTTTAACAGTTACATAAACGCACGCATAAGCATATTCACCCCTTCTCATAAACGCTTAGGTCTTTACAGGGGGCATGTTTTAGTTTCCTTCATTTAATCTCACACGGCAAGAGCTGCAAGCTGCTAAATTTCCTCATCTCGTGTAAAAGTATTTCTCTGGCATTATGTTAATTATAAAGATACGTGCTGTAATTTATAGCTTTGTTCATTGTTTAATATTAAGAAACCTAAGCAACAGAAGTTGACAGGTTGTAGGCTTTATCTTTCATTTGGTCAGTTAACTTTTTCGCTGATGTTCATACGTTGTAAGCATGCCTCGTGTGGAGGCATGAGGTTGGTAATGGGTCTAGGCGTGTGGTGTAGTGAAGGGTGGAGGCATGTGGCAGTGGGAAAGGGAACAAAATAGGCATGTGAAGGTTGGGGGGGGGATAGAAGTAAATGGAAGATTTTTTTTATAACAGGCTAAGAGCTGTTACCCTACCTCAGCTCATTTCAAAGCCCAGCCCTAATCAAGGTATACAACCATCCCCGGGATGTGACCTACAACAGTTGACTAACACCCAGGTACCTACTTTCTGCTATCTTGTCGGAGGTGGCGATGGATGGATGGAGACATGTTAGGGTAGCAATGGATGATGGCATATGGGTGTGGGAGAAAGGAGACAAGTGGGAGTAAAGGATGAGGCTTGTACTCACTTAGTTGTGGTTGCAGGGGTCGAGTCATAGCTCCATCACACATTCCTCCATAGATAGAGGCATGTGGGGGGGGGGGCTGGGGAGTGGAGATTTCGAATGGCTACATATATATCAGTCACGGGCGGCAATGAATAGTGGCATGTATTCACTTATATGTGGTTGCAAGAATCATTTGAGATGGCAATGAATGGCGGCATGGGGGAGGGTTATGCACGGCGGCATGTGTGGATGGCAATACGAGGAGGCATATAACAGTGACAGTGAAGAAAGTTGTGGGGGAGTGGCAGTGAATGGAGGCATGTAGGGAGGGGGGGGGTGTTAATGGATGGAGCAGTGGGGGTGGCAATGAAGAATGGTATCTAGGGGAGTAGCTGTGGATGGAGGGGGTGTGGGAAAGTATCAGATGAGGATATGATGAGGGAGGAAGGTGTGAGGGAGTAGCACGGGGATGGGAACCTGTGGGGGTGTGGCAAGGGATGTGGATAGGTGCATTTCTGGGTGTTTATGAGCCTGCAGGTTCTTATTAACCCATATTTTTCAGTGCATAGTTTTAAATTTTAAATGAATTATATTGAAACTAAAAAGGCATAAAATAATGGGCAATATAATTGATGTATGCAGGTGGATAAATGACATGGATAAGGAAAAAAATTGTGGAGGTAAAATTCAAAAACAGTGGATTAAAATCGGAAACACAGGACAGTACTGCACTTCGATTTAAGAGGGTCATAGTTGCATATTGTAATGAGTAGAATGAACGATCAAGTTTCGTGAATAAAGTATATACTAAATACTAAGTTGTAAAAATAGATTAGGAAGATGCATGTAAAAGTAATTGGATGCTTGAATTTCTCGTAGCTCAGTTGTTAGCCCACTCAGCTCACACACTGATACCTGGTAGGGTTGTAAACATCAGGACATGCTTCCTTAAGACACCTTCTGTCTATTTTCACCTACGTATCAGTAAAATAGGTACCTGAGTGTTAGTTGACTGGTGTGGGTCGCATTCAGGGGACAAAATTGACTTAATTTGCTTGAAATGCTGTATATAACAAGCGGCTTTATATAGTAGTATGTCAGTTAGGCCTATATACAATATACGTGTACATGTAATTGTAGAAATAATTATTAAGAAGACCTGCTGTGCATAAGCCAGTAGGCCATCTGTAGTCTTGTATTTATTACAATTCAGAGATCTTTCCATATTTCATTTAAGGAAAAAAGTGTAATAAAGACTACAAATACTCTACTCTGTAAAATATGTAATTATTGTTATGAAACTTTCATTTAGGCAAATTTACTGTATTTAGAAAACACCTTGTGTACAGTCTGGAGTAATATGGTCAAGTTTTTTATATTGACCCAACATAGTAGGAGGGTTATTACTGAGCTAGATTGGTGCCCTAGAAGGAGTTTGTAGTCTTGATGCACAACTTCCAACATTTTATTGTTATTCTACTTAAAAGCACAAGTTGAACTTTAAAAGTTTGACTAGAGAGATGGGTGTTGAGTCAACTGTTGAGTTTTCTCATCAGTATTCTAAACTTTCTGCCTTGTATATCCAGTATAAATGTGATTGACCAATTCATGAATTTACACTGCATATGTTAAGTATGAGAAGTTGATAAAGGTAAAGGCCACTCACAGATGACAATTCTTTGTAGTTCCTGTGGACCAGCAGCAGTCTGTGAGCAGTTTGGCCATTCTGCATTGTCATGGTTGTTTGAGAGGTCATTGAAGGTGGTTGAAAGTAGAATGACTGGCCAGATATATACACAAATACTCATTAAATTTTTGACATAGTTTTGTCTGTGTTAGCTAGTGTATGTGCATTTGTGTGAGAGCATACATGTTTGTGTACATTTGTGTGTGCATGTGCATAAAGCTAATGTATTTTTGTACAGCATCATGTGTGATTTGTGCTTATTCTCTGATAACTACAGTACAGCATCTCACTTAACAACAGAGTTCCGTTCCTAAGACAACGTCAGAAAACAAATTCATCTCTAATGGTAGTGGGTACTATAATGGGTAGCGGGCATGCTATAATGATAGTGGGTTTGTGCCAACCATCTTTGATAATGTTTTAATATCACCTTTGCACCATTTACAACATTTCTGATATATTTTTTAAATGTTTATACAGCAATATATTGTACATATATTGTAATAAACAGAATAGAGGAAATCAGCTTTAATATAGTACATTACTTAGGTATGCATACTGGCCAGAGAGCCCTTCATAACTCTGAGTCGTCGGTAAACGAGTACATTACTAAGTGAGGAGAGGCTGTACTGGAATGGTTTATGAAAATGTTGTGTAGTGTAATACTGCTTTGACATCTTTGAACATAGAAACAAAGATGCTCTTGTAATTTTTTTTCTAAACCTTTTCAGGTAAAAATATTTCACTCTTAAATAATTTTGCTTAGGAATTTTCACGCTTTACTTCAAGCTTGCACAGTGGGATCATCCAGCTATGGGATTATCGTATGTGCACACTGGTGGATAAGTTTGACGAACATGAAGGACCTGTTCGAGCAGTTTGCTTCCACCAGCAGCAGCCTCTCTTCGTGTCTGGTGGTGATGACTACAAGATCAAGGTCAGACCATCTTTGTTCATCTTAAGATGAAGTTGATGTCATTGAGAGAAATAATTAAAACCAGTCTACATCAAGAGAGAATGGGATGTTTACCTAGCTTTGGGATTAAAATTCCTATCTAAATCATATTATTGTACCATCTTTCCTAAATGCACCAGCATTCTTTATTGGTTAGCAGATTTTTTAATCTCTTAAAATGAATTTTAATTGCTTATTTTAGATGTGTGTGGTTTATAGCAATATTTTCTCCTGCAAATGGTACACGATGAGAATTTCATATAAAATTTAACTATCAACTAACTTTAAGCTTTTAAATGCTTAAAACTGAGCAGTTGCATAAGGTTATACTGTACTGAGTGTAATAATTTTTACAACAGCTATCTTTTACTAAGGGTACTTCTTTATCTCTCCCATAAATATTTCTAAATTTTGTGTGATAATCTGTATGACTGCTAGGTCTGGAACTACAAGCTACGTAGATGTCTCTTCACACTGCTTGGCCACTTGGATTACATCCGAACCACTGAATTTCACCAGGTTAGCTAAACTCTGTTTTGCTCCTGTACCGTTTTTCAATAAAAATTGTCCCAGAGAAAATATTAAAATAGGTTCCACCAGAAAGCAAAATTTTTAGTTCAGAAGGGTAGTACATATTGAGAAAAAGACAGATAAAATTAGTTTTATAGATGAATCTGTGTCCTCTAGTTAGGGCTGCTGATGGAGAAGTTTCAGTGTAATGAAATACTGTAATTACAAGTAAATTACAATATATAAATACTGTATAAAGTACAGTACATGTATACACATACACGAGAAAACTACTAAAATCTCAGTGCTTTTTTTTTTTTTAAGTGGATATCTGTGTGAATTAAATCCTTTCATGTGAATTTTACTTTGGAAACATGTAATTTATTATTTACAGAATACCATTGGCTACAGTAGTAAATAATATACAGTACTATATTAAGTTTTTTGTGGTCATTTAATAGCTGTTACTGAAGTGAATGGGCATCACAATTGAAATGACCCAACATTGTGAAGGTTTTGTTACATAGTATTGAAAAATAAATGTGTAAAACACTGTACGTGTATATTATGTTGAAATCTAATGAAACTTTAATAAATCACTGGAGGAGACTAGTAATATTCTAACAGTTCTTGGAACTTAATGTGAATATTTGTAAGGAAAATCCTTCCAATTTTCAGTCAGATCTCCAGCTGATAAATTTTGAGCCTTCAGTTTTCTGATCTTGGATCCATTACGTAGATGTTATATACTTTAAAGGATTTATTATTATATACAGTAGTTACTTTCTTTCCAACACTTGTGTGATTTGTGAAAATTAAGAGATGAGTTTTGGTGTTTTTTTTCGTTTTGCATATTCCTCTAATAGTTGGTTTCATGAGTTTTAATACTTCCTCAGTGGAAGTAATTTTATAGGGCAGTCCCTTTTTCTTAATTACCTTTTTTTTTTAAGAAATTTCCTCATATATGTATCTGCACAGTCAGATCAAATAAATGATAAGTGTCTTGGCAGATGTACACAGTGTCATGGTCCAATCTAAAATAGTATTTGCTGCATCTGAAACAGTGAGTACACATTTTAATGTAACCGTTTTTGTTTCATATTCCAGGAGTATCCATGGATTCTGTCTGCTTCAGATGACCAGACAATTCGTATATGGAACTGGCAGAGCCGATCATGTGTTTCAATCCTGACTGGGCATAACCATTATGTTATGTGTGCACGCTTCCATCCAACCCAAGACCTTATTGTATCTGCTTCCCTGGACTCTACAGTCAGAGTGTGGGATATCTCAGGTATTCCTGGCAAACCAGGAGGTATGCATTGCTCCAGCTGGTACCCATGGATTTTGGAATGTCCAGTCTTGCTCTTCCTACCGTACTTTTTGGTCCCAACTATAAAATCGAATAGAACCACTTACTGGATTACTTAACATTTAAAATTTATAGTTCTTATCACTTCAGCACTGAGCCTAACCTGTACTGTGCATCTTGCCTTGATATTAATTGGTCTAGAATCTAGATATTTTGAAGCAGTTATATGTAAAGTTTGTGGTTTTTTAAAATCATATTATTATGGCTTGTGTGCAAAATATACAAGTCAACATTTGAGGGTTAAAAAGCTTTAATTAGCTAAATAATGTACCTGCTAAAAATAGAGTATAATAAAACCTTGATTAAATGGGCAAATAAAGAGGAGCAGATGGTCAATTATGGCAGATATGATGGCAAGAGGAAATTATTTTAGCGTGATTGTAAAAATAATGGATAGTTCTGTAAGCAATGAGCTTTGTCTCTTGTTTCTGAATCAGCTGACCCACTGAATTTTGTTTTGTATTTCTGAAATCCAATAAAGTTTGCTAGAGAGTTTACTACATTTACATTACTTCTGTAATGAAATAAAAACTTTAATAAATTTGTTATTGATTTAATGCCATTGCTGTAAATAATAGTAACGTTTCAATATTCAGTGCAGCTCTGTGTGAACCTTGCAGATTAAGACTGGAAATGCCAACTGTTAGGTGCATTAAAATTCCCAGCAAATCTAACTCATTTTACATGTGAGCATAATAAGTGGGTTGCCTTGTACTGTAAGTCTGTAGTGAATCATTTTTTTTTTCTTTTATGTAATTGAAGGCTGGAATTAGATGAAAGAAAACCATCAATAAATGTGTAAATTTCCCTGCTCCTTGCTGAATTAAGATACAAAAACCATACTTAAAATATAAAAATGTAGTACAGCAGATGTTAGTTCAAACATAAAACTGCTTCAAATGGTTTAGTATGGTTCATCTTTGACCAACTTAAAACAAAGCATATACCTTACTATCAAGTATGTTCATAATCCTAGTTCTTAAGAACCATGTATTTGATGTATAGCTTGTAGCTACTAACAACTTTTGATAAGGAGTACATATATTTGGGAGGAATTAGTGTATTGTATCTCTTGCTTCTTTGACACTGGCTTATCTGTATGCAGGTGTTAGCATGTATTCTTCAGGAATATGTAAAGTTCCTGCTATGTTTGGTACTGTAGAGTCAGTGTTTATTGGTGATATTCTTGGCTTGGATTATCAAAATTTTTCAAATATTTTTAATTTGAACTTAAAAATTTGCAGCTGTGTAAGTATTAGGAAGAGGAAGGTACTAATCTTGCCCCATTTCAGTGAAATGAGAGTACCAATGTGCAAGTGATGATAATTTAAATATTTTTATATATTTATATATTTATAGATGGGGTTGTAAAAGAAGTAACTGCTAGGGTGTTTGGGAGAGGGGTGGGATTAAATTATGGGGAATCAAATTCAAAATGGGAATTGACACAGTTACTTTTTGCTGATGATACTGTGCTTATGGGAAATTCTAAAGAAAAATTGCAAAGGTTAGTGGATGAGTTTGGGAATGTGTGTAAAGGTAGAAAGTTGAAAGTGAACATAGAAAAGAGTAAGGTGATGAGGGTATCAAATGATTTAGATAAAGAAAAATTGGATATCAAATTGGGGAGGAGGAGTATGGAAGAAGTGAATGTTTTCAGATACTTGGGAGTTGACGTGTCGGCGGATGGATTTATGAAGGATGAGGTTAATCATAGAATTGAGGAGGGAAAAAAGGTGAGTGGTGCGTTGAGGTATATGTGGAGTCAAAAAACGTTATCTATGGAGGCAAAGAAGGGAATGTATGAAAGTAGTACCAACACTCTTATATGGGTGTGAAGCTTGGGTGGTAAATGCAGCAGCGAGGAGACGGTTGGAGACAGTGGAGATGTCCTGTCTAAGGGCAATGTGTTGTGTAAATATTATGCAGAAAATTTGGAGTGTGGAAATTAGGAAAAGGTGTGGAGTTAATAAAAGTATTAGTCAGAGGGCAGAAGAGGGGTTGTTGAGGTGGTTTGGTCATTTAGAGAGAATGGATCAAAGTAGAATGACATGGAAAGCATATAAATCTGTAGGGGAAGGAAGGCGGGGTAGGGGTCATCCTCAAAAAGGTTGGAGAGAGGGGGTAAAGGAGGTTTTGTGGGCGAGGGGCTTGGACTTCCAGCAAGTGTGCGTGAGCGTGTTAGATAGGAGTGAATGGAGACGAATGGCACTTGGGACCTGACGATCTGTTGGAGTGTGAGCAGGGTAATATTTAGTGAAGGGATTCAGGGAAACCGGTTATTTTCATATAGTCGGACTTGAGTCCTGGAAATGGGAAGTACAATGCCTGCACTTTAAAGGAGGGGTTTGGGATATTGGCAGTTTGGGGGGGATATGTTGTGTATCTTTATACGTATATGCTTCTAAACTGTTGTATTCTGAGCGCCTCTGCAAAAACAGTGATGGTCTGTGAGTGTGGTGAAAGTGTTGAATGATGTTTAAAGTATTTTCTTTTTGGGGTTTTTTTTTTTTTTTTTTGGGCACCCTGCCCCGGTGGGGGGGACGGCCCCCCCACTTTTGAAAAAACAAAAAAAATTTTTTAAATTTATAAGTGTGTGCAAAGCTAGTAATCTATTTTTTTTAGTTCTTTGGGGTTTTTTTCCCGCCTGAATGAAATATTGACTTTTTTTGATTAACCTTTTTTTGTTTGAGGGCAAAACTATAAATGTGTTCATCTCCTAGTTTGACAAATAACTTTTTTTTTTTTTTACTTGGTTGTAAACACGTACTGATATGGATCCCCTTCAGTATTCTACCACTGGTTTAGAAAAGCTTTTGAAATTTTTGGATACAAACCTTTTCATTGGTTTGCAGTTGTGGGCTCTTGTTCTTCCTGTTGATGGTGCTTATTAAATCTATATTTATGTCTTTATTTTTCTATGATCTTTTGGGTTTTTGTTTGTATTTTTATCCTTTGTCCCAACCCCGGGTATTTACAGAGTTGTCAGTGTTTCTTCATAACTTCTTTTTTATATCTTGTGCTTTGAACTCACATCTGGAAATCTTAACTTAGTCTATTTTTTTTTTTTTTTTTTTAAAAAGTCGGCCGTCTCCCACCGAGGCAGGGTAACCCAAAAAGAAAGAAAATCCCCAAAAAGAAAATACTTTAATCATCATTCAACACTTTCACTTCACTCACATATAATCACTGTTTTTGCAGAGGTGCTCAGAATACAACAGTTTAGAAGTATATAGGTATAAAAATACACAATATATACCTCCAAATTGCCAATATCCCAAACCCCTCCTTTAGAGTGCAGGCATTGTACATCCCATTTCCAGGACTCGAGTCCGGCTATATAAAAATAACCGGTTAAAAATAGGTCATTTGAGGTCATGGGGCAGTAAGCATTTCTTTAGATCATCATAACTTGGGCAATAATCATTATATACCATTTTTTTTTTCTTTTTATTTTCTTCAACAAGTCAGCCGTCTCCCACCGAGGCAGGGTGACCCAAAAAAGAAAGAAAATCCCCAAAAAGAAAATACATTCATCATCATTCAACACTTTCACCACACTCACACATTATCACTGTTTTTGCAGAGGTGCTCAGAATACAACAGTTTAGAAGCATACACATATAAAGATACACAACATATCCCTCCAAACTGCCAATATCCCAAACCCCTCCTTTAGAGTGCAGGCATTGTACATCCCATTTCCAGGACTCGAGTCCGGCTATATAAAAATAACCGGTTAAAAATAGGTCATTTGAGGTCATGGGGCAGTAAGCATTTCTTTAGATCATCATAACTTGGGCAATAATCATTATACAGTGGACCCCCGGTTAACGAACTTTTTTCATTCCAGTAGTATGTTCAGGTGCCAGTATGACCGAATTTGTTCCAAAAGGAAAAAATTGTAAGTAGATTTAGTCCATTTCAGACCCCAAAAATACAGTAGAACGCACTTCATAAATACACTTACATAATTTGGGCGCAATTTGGAGGTTTATCGTTAAGCGGGGGTCACTGTATACCTTTTTTTTTTTTTTTTTTTTTTTTCTTCAACAAGTCGGCCGTCCTCCACCGAGGCAGGGTGGCCTTCCTTCCCCTATAGATTTATATGCTTTCCATGTCATTCTACTTTGATCCATTCTCTCTAAATGACCAAACCACCTCAACAACCCCCTCTTCTGCTCTCTGACTAATACTTTTATTAACTCCACACCTTTTCCTAATTTCCACACTCCGAATTTTCTGCATAATATTTACACCACACATTGCCCTTAAACAGGACATCTCCACTGCCTCCAACCGTCTCCTCGCTGCTGCATTTACCACCCAAGCTTCACACCCATATAAGAGTGTTGGTACTACTATACTTTCATACATTCCCTTCTTTGCCTCCACAGATAACGTTTTTTGACTCCACATATACCTCAACGTACCACTCACCTTTTTTTCCTCATCAATTCTATGATTAACCTCAACCTTCATAAATCCATCCGCCGACACGTCAACTCCCAAGTATCTGAAAACATTCACTTCTTCCATACTCCTCCTCCCCAATTTGATATCCAATTTTTCTTTATCTAAATCATTTGATACCCTCATCACCTTACTCTTTTCTGTGTTCACTTTCAACTTTCTACCTTTACACACATTCCCAAACTCATCCACTAACCTTTGCAATTTTTCTTTAGAATCTCCCATAAGCACAGTATCATCAGCAAAAAGTAACTGTGTCAATTCCCATTTTGAATTTGATTCCCCAAAATTTAATCCCACCCCTCTCCCGGACACCCTAGCATTTACTTCCTTTTTCAACCCCATCTATAAATATATTAAACAACCATGGTGACATTACACATCCCTGTCTAAGACCTACTTTTACTGGGAAGTAGTCTCTCTCTCTTCTACACACCCTAACCTGAGCCTCACTATCCTCATAAAAGCTC